GGCTGTGGGGGTTGGAAGCAGCCTGTTCCCACCAAGGGCAGAAGCTTCACCATCTGAGCAGCCAGGCTGGCTGCACTTGCTGGGGGGTTCCAGTGCTCTGCCCTGCTCTGCCCTGCTCAGCCCCAGGCTGCAGCCCACACTTCAGCTCTGTGTCCCAGGTGGCACGGGCTTGTCTGGGTCCTTTCCTTAACACACAGGCAGGTTTTATTTTTATTTTATTTTATTTTAAAAAATAATTATTCTGTGCTTATTTTTTTCTTCTTCTTCTTTTTTTTTCCCCTTTGGAGAGGTTTTTGCTATAGAGTGCATGTGCTCACCAGAAAGACAGAGAGAGACAAAGAGACAGAAAGTGAGAAATAACCCCCCAGGGGGGATGGCCACATCACAATCCCTTCTCCTTTATTTTCCTTTCAGGATCTCTGGCTTGCATGCACATGTGCCCCGTGTGAGTTTAAGCCACCAGGTCCAGGACTCGAACCATGGTCGACTACGTGGGAGTCCAGTGACATAGCCATTACGCCAACTGCTGGTCCCTGTGTATAACTTTTTCATAATATTTATTTTTCATGAACTTTTGGAAGACCATTCATGTTTCATGTTATTATTTCAAATTCGCATAGTTTACATTTGTACAAAATGTAACCCATGACTATGTTCTTCTGCAAGAAAATTAAGTGATTACAATTGCTAATGCTTTCTTCACAGGTATATCTATAGAATTTATTTTAAAAAATAATTATTTATTTTATTTTATTTATTCATTCATTTATTTTTTTAAAATTTGACCAGAGAGAGACAGAGGGTGAGGGTGAGAGAGAGAGGAAGTGAGAAAACAAGTCACCAGATTCAGGACTCAAACCCCGGTCAGCCATGTGGGAGTGTCCAGTGCCTTAACCACCACGCCACAGGCAGGTTTTATACGACTTTCTCTAGGCGGCAGAGTTAACATCTACCTTTCAAGATAGATGTGAGTGTTAACACGGAATGGAAACACTTGTGATATAAGGCTTTTTCTTCCAGATACCTAATTGTGGGACTGTTTCTCTTTTTTCTTTTTGTTTTACCAAACCGAAGTTCTCTTTCTAAGGAGTCATTAAACCCAATTTAGAAAGGGCTGATTTAACCAGACAGACATACTCACTGCCACCAGGCCTGTGTTAAAAAGATCTGGGGTAAAACATGGGGTGCCTTCTCTCATGTCAGAGCGTTTCTTCTGAAGCAGTACACAGGCCATGTCCCTTATATTCGAGGGGACTAAAACCCTCTCTGCAATGTCCTGTGAGATCTAGGTCTCAGAATCCCCAGGAAGGGCTGGGCTGATCTGGGAGGGAAGAAACAGACTGCTTCGAGGGTCCCACCAGGGTCACAGATTTCACAACAGGTTTTGTAAGAAAAATACCTTTTCAGTGAAAGAAATTAGGAGGAAAAAACTAGAGAAAAACGTAACAAACTTGAATATGTGTATACTTTAAAAGCCCAACCTAGTCAATATCTGTAGAACAAATACAACAGTTATCAAATGAGGCTCCTTAAAACAGAAACTTTCTGCACAACCTGAATCTTCTTTTCACAAAGTCAAACTACTGGAATAGTGCCAAGGTCAAGAAATATACACTTAATTTAATTTTTATTTTAGTTCAACAGTTGTTTAAATATACAGTCAGTTCATGTATCAATCAAAAAATTTAAAATAAGGGCTCTTCAAAATGTGCACAAAAAATGTATATTATGGAAAAAACTCTGCATGGGTCACGGAACTTTTTTTGCCCCTAAATTATGCTTGTACTTAACTTTCATGTTCCCACAGATTTCTTAAAGACCCCTCAAATGTTGGTCTCCATTAACACTGTCCTCTGGGGCTGCAACCTCATCTGTGGTTCTACCTGTCACCTCGTGCTAAGGATCTGGTTCCCACGGTGAGAAAGATGTCTCTGGCTACAATGGTGAGTGAGCCCAGGCAGGTGCCAAGGTGCGTACGAAGCTGATGTCACACGCTGCCCAGTGTGCAGGTGTGGAGGACGTGACCAGCACTCGGCATTGATGTGTGAGGTAAGCAATGTCTGGGGGCTGGGGCACTGAATGGTGACTGAGGAGGAAAGGCGAGAGACTCCTATACCAACAGAGAGGTTCTGAGTCGTTCCTTTAGAGCATCCCACTCTAATCTCCCTTCACCTCTCTGGCCCTTTTGCTTCTCACTGAAACTCACAAAGCCACCTGTGGGGCTGGGGGAAAGGAGTACAGTCACACCCGGGGGCATGACAAGCCACGTGCCCTTTGTGCCGACCTCAACGCCAGTTTGGCTAATACGTGAAGTTGCCTGAAAACTCCCGCCGCCAGCTCTATTTAGCACAGAGAGCTGTGGGGACAGTGCGCGGCGCCTGCGGTGTGCTCGCGTCTGTGTCGTCTGGGGAAGGTAGAGAGGGCCCGTGGCTCACCTCTTCGGTTGTCCCAGGCGTAGAGTTCCTTTATTCCCAGCTCGTTCAGGGACTTGGACAGCTCCAGCTCCTCCCCGGCAATGTTGTCCCTGAGGAGAACCACGTGCTCTGGGTGGACCTCGCACTTCGCACAGATGACGGGAAGAATACTCTGGAGAGGAACCTCGGGGCTCACCCGCACGACGGCTTTCTGTGTCCGCAGGTAATTCACTACTAAGCGCACAGATTTCTGAAAGAACACACCAGACAAGATGAAGTGTGTCAGGACATGTTCCCACGGTAGCTTTGACTTAGGTTTTTATTCTGGGGTCGACTGTGGCAGGGTTCGGCACAGCCCAAATCTTCCTTCCAGAGTCAGCCTCCAACGGGAAAATGGGATAATAAATAGCAAAAACGTAAGTGTCTGCCTAACGCGCTCATCTTGGAGCCACTCACGCTCGAGCAGGCTGCTCACCACACAGGGAAACTGAAGCCAGTGAGCGCTCTTAAGTTAAAATCCAGCAGACACTGTCTTTTTTTTTTTTCTTTACAACTATTGTATGTTAATTTAATTTAATTTAATTTTAACAGACACTGTCTTGAACGGTGTTGGCCAGGCCTGAATGCGACACACTTAGACATCTTTTCTAAAAAATAAGATAACGTGGAAGTAGTATGAGTAGTTTTATTTAAAGAAAAAGAAACAAAAAGCAAGACACCAAACTTTTAACAAGTCAAAACATCCACATATATAAATAAATATATATTTACACACATATTTCTATTAGGTTGTCAGGAAAGTCATGACATGTTTTTTATATTTTTTTGGTGCAAAAATTCATCATGACTTCCCAACAACCCATTATATCAATATACACACATGCAGAATACATATAAACACACACATAGAGAGCAGGTGCATGGACAAGTGTGTATTTATACATGCACACTACACATGCATTTTAAGCTAGATGTGTATGTGTGTGTGTTACTTACAAACCAGACATATAAAAATCAGGGAAAAAAATTAATTTGACTAAAATGGATTCAAAATTACTACAAGTAAAGTGGTCCATAAAAAACATTTAATATACAAAGTTTCAGGACCAGCAGATATCACAGTGGTTATGTCACTGGATTCCCACATGGCCAAAAGCAGTTCGAGTCCTGGACCCGGTGGCTTGAAACTCACGCCAGGCACATGTATATGCATACCCAAGATCTGCGGAGGAGAATAGAAAAGAAAGGATTGTGGCATAGTCATCCTCCTTGGGGGGTGATTTCTCACTTTCCCTCACTGTCTCTATTTCTATCTCTGATGAGCACACACAACCTAAGTCAAAAACCTCTTAAAACACACACACACGCACACACACACACACACACACAAACACAGCTTCTTCCAGTTTACTTTCCCTTCTCCTCTATTCTCCTCTCAGGATCTTGGGCACGCATGCACATACGACCGGCATGAGTTTTAAGTAGCCAGATCTGGAACTCCAATCACAGTCAACTACATGGTAGTCCAGTGACGTAACCATTATGCCATCTACTGGTCCCAATTTATCTTTTCTTTCCTTTTTTTTTTTTTTTAAATTGACAGAAACAAAGGAAGGGAGAGGGAGAAAGCATTCCCCCAAGGGATATGATCACACTGCAATCACTAATCACTTCTCCATTTCTCCATTACATCAGGATTTGGGGCATGCACACACATGTGCCTGGTATGTTTTTCAAGCTGCAGGGTCCAGGATTCAGAAGTCAACCATGTGGAATCCAGTTCCCAATGTATAAGGCTGAACCACTAGGCAATGGGGAGGACTCTCTAGCCAGCTTTTATTCAGCCTTCACTGATCACTGAGCTGTGCTAAGACACTGTAGAGGCAGACATACTGGACTTGGATTAAATAAAAGAGCAACTGAGAAAGCCTCCTGCGCTCTTCCCGTCTGGGTATCATGGTTCAGTGTGGCTGTGATGATGGATTTTAGGAGGAAAAGTGGAACCCCCTGTTCCTTCCCATGCCTTGCTGCAGACTCCAGTTTCAACACAGAAAGGTAAGGGAAGCCACGGGATATACACAAGGCTCCTCCTTCTGGAACAGCGATTTTCCAAGACAAATAAGGGGGAAATCTCCTCCGGACAGAGTATACAAGGGTAATACTTAGGATTTATGAACCAGCCTAACCTAGAAATTTAAATAGGATGGGCTGTTGGTCAAATTACCATTTTTAAAAATAGGAAAACTCAGCAGATCTTCTAAGAATAGGGAAGAATGTAGGAACACTACTTTTAATTGGAGCTATGAGATTCATATCAAAGCCTTATTAAAAAGTACAATAAGCAGCTGAAATTAATTTTGATTGATAATAAAAAGCCTGGAGAAAACTTATGAATGTGATAAAATATTCTCTAAATGCAATAAGTCAATATTTCAAAATCAATGCTTCAAAAGGAAAAATTCCTTTTTTTTCTCTCGCTTCAATATGCTTAAGTCTTCTATAGACTCCAGCTGTTTGCTGAGGCAGGCAGAACTCTAAGACTGTACTTACCAATAGGGTAGCCACTAGCCACTTATGGTTATTTAAATTGAAATGAATTAAATATAACAGATTTCAATAAAATTAAAAACTCAGTTTCTTAATCTTGCTAGACACATTTTAAGTGCTAACGAGCTACATGTGGCCAGTGGCTATCATCCTGGGAAGTGCGGAATTAAAGACCATGTCCACCTCTGAAGAAAGTTGTGGTAGCTAGCTGCACTCTCAGGCACTCTCTACTATAATACGCACAGGACCGATGTTATAACAATAAACGGTGTCAAATTCTGTGAACTGTTCCCTAAGATAAGCTCAACTTAGCGCCGAACTTTTATCTAGCATAGGAGTAGAAACCTCAATCACAAGTGTGCATATGGTACTGAGGTGAGAAGAACACACTGACCCTTTTCTCAGCACCTCCCACACAGACACGGGCATCTATATATAGACCCTTGGATAACATGTAGGTACCTACTGACCTCGGGCACCTTTGCTGAGCCAGGCTTAACCTTCTCTTCAGAAACTTTTTCTTTCAGAAACACAGTGTGTACATTCAAAGTCCCAACCAAGGTATTTGGCTTAAAACTCAAAGGCTGTTGGGTTTCCGAAGACCAGATCTCAAGGGCATGGTGGGATGGATTCAGGTGGTTCTGAAGGCAAAGATCAACCAGGAGATCCATCATCGCATGGCTGAAAAAAGGAAAACAGATCATGACTATTAGGAATGTCAGCACTCTCCCATCTGCCTAGCTGAATAAGGGTGGAACAAATGAATAAGTGGATGAATAAGCAAATTAGATGTACTTATAAAGAAAGACAACAGCAGCTCATTAATTCTTAATGCATGATTATATAGCAATATGTTAACATTTTTAATACCAATAAACACTACTGCAAAAGAAAGATCACAGTATCTAGAAAATAGTTCTACTTCTAGTGAGTTCCATGAATACGCTGAGTTGAATCATTTAAGGTCTGCTAGCAGAAATATTACTCGTAGGTTGGAGACACTGATTTTTCATAAACATAATGTATCTTTAAAACTTAAATTTGAGGTTGAAAAAGTTAGCAGCTTTCTTCTTAGTTAAAAAAAATCCTTTTATTCAAGACTAAAAAGTAACCCAAGGTAATTACCATTATCAAGTATCAAACATTTTCATAAGGTCCCCCATCACAGGAGGGGTAAGGGAGGATAGTAAAAAATCAAATTATTCTGAAGAACAGAAAATATCAATTAAATCTTTTCCATTTGTCTGTCAGAATGTTTTATATTTAACACCGACCTCTCTTTTACAAATTCTTCAAGAATTTGAGCAAAATATAGACAGAATATAAAGAGAAAAGAAGGAACCAAAGCATACTACCACAAACATCAAAGCACAAAGCAGATGAAAAAGATGAGAGGAACAAAAGAACTAGCACAAAGGCAGAAAACAATGAACAAAATGGCAGGAGTAAAGTAATCCCACCTCACATAAATGATTTCACTTTGCATTTTTAGAAACTAGAATAAAGGGGCCAGCAGATGGCGTAATGGTTACATTGCTGGACTCCCACATAGTCAACTGCATTTCAAGTTCTGGACCTAGCAGCCTGAACCTCACACTGGGCACATGTGTGCATGCCCAAAATTCCGAGAGGAGAATGGAAGAGAAGGGACTGCAGTGTGTCTATCCCCCCTTGGGGGTGATTTCTCATTTTCTATCTCTCTGCCTCTCTCTGTCTCTCTGATAAGCGCATGCACCCTATAGCAAAAATCTCTCTAAAGAAAAAAGAAAGGAAAGAAACTAGAATAAGAACAAAGTAAGCTCAGAGTGAACAGCAGGTAGGAAACAATAAAGATATGGCAGAGATAACTGCAATAGAGAATAGAAGAGTAGAAACAACAAAACTAAAAGTTGTGGGGTTGTTTCTTTTTTTGAGAAAAGTAAACGAAATAGAAAAATCCTTAGCTAGACTAAGGAAGGGTTATAATAAAACAAGAGAAGACTCAAAATCAGAAATGAAAGAAGAAACATTATAACAAATGCCTCAGGAATAAAAATTATTAGGTACTATTATGAACAATAATACATCAACAAAATGGATAATCTAGAAGAAATTAACACGTTCCTATATACACATAACCTGTCAAAATTAAATTAACAAGAAACAACAACTCTAAATGGAACAATAACAAATAAGCAGATTGAATCAGTAATTATATTTCATTACAAAGAAAAGTTCAAGACCAAATAGATTTATATCAAAGAGTAATTAATACCAACACTTCAGGGGCTGGCAAGTGGTGAGGTGGTTAAGGGTGCTGGACTCTCACGTGGCTGACCACAGTTGGAGTCTCAGACTTGGTGGCTTGCTTTCTCATTTTCTCTCTCTCACTCTGTCTCTTTCTGGTCAAATTGAAAAATAATGATAATAAATAAATAATTCTTTAAAAAACAATTAATACCAACACTTCATAAACTCTTTCAAAAATAGGAAACAAGACGGACCAGCAGTTAGCGTAATGGCTATGTTGTTGGACTCCCACGTAGCCGACTGTGGTTCAAGTCCTGGACCCAGTGGCTTAAACTCACGCTGGACGCGTGTGCGTGCGTGCCCAAGATCCCGAGAGGAGAATGGAAGAGAAAGGATTGTGGCGTGGCCATCCCCCCAGGGGGGTGATTTCTCGCTTTCTGTCTCTCTGTCTCTCTCTGTCTGTCTGGCAAGCGCATGCGCCCTATAGCAAAAACCTCTCCCCCCCGCCAAAAGAAAAAAAAAATAGGAAACAAGAGAGACTTTCAACTCATTTTATGAGCTAAGCATCACTTTGATGCCAAGCCCAAAAAGACTCTGAAAGAAACAAAATTATAGGCCAATATATTCCTGATGAATATGGATGCAAAAATTCTCAATAAAATACTAGCAAACAAATAAGCACATTAAATAGATCACATACCATAAGAAAATTGGTTCTAACCCTGAGATGCAAGAATGGCTCAACATATGTGAATTAGTCAATGTGAGACAACATATAAACAAAATAAAACACAAAAAACCATAATCATTTTAAGTGAAGCAGAGAACTCATGTGACAAAATTCAACATCCACTCAGGATAAACACTCTCAGCAAAAAACCATAAATATAGAAGGGACTTAATTGAAAAAGATGGAAAGCATTTTCCCTAAGGTCTATACAATGCTCCTTTCTGTTATTTGTCCTAGCCAGAGACATTGGACAGGAAAAAAATAATATAAAAGACATGCAAAATAGAAAAAGTAGAATTATTTCAGTTTGTAGATAGCATGACCATATGCATATATTATTTTTAACTATGTATGAATTTTAATTTTTTGCAACAAAAATAAACTCATACTTTAATTCTATTTTTCAATAAATTTTCTGAAGTCCCTTTGTGTGTAAGAAGACTCAATAACAACAACAATAAACTGTTAAAACTAATAATTTAGTAAAGTTGCTGAATAAAAAATAAAAATCACTGGCATTTCTATATACACAAGCAATGATCTATCTGAAAATAAAAGTAAAAATAAAAGTCCTATTTACAATAGCAAAGCAATAATAACAACAACAACAACTGGGACTAAACCTAACTAAAGAAAACGAATGATCTGTACACAAAATATTACAAAACACTGATAAAATAAAGAGACAGATCACTAGAAAGACATCCTGTTTGTAGGCTGGAAGAATTAATATTGCTAAAATATTCATAGTGCACAAAGAGATCTATCAATTCAATAAAATCTCTATTGAAATTCCAATGACATTCTTCATAGGATCAGAGAAGAAAAACCCTAAACTTTATGTGAACCATCAAAGGACTTTGAATAGCTGAAAGATTCTTAAGAAGGGAAAACTAGGGACCAGCAGTTAATGTAATGGCAATGTTACTGGACTCCCATGTAGTAGACCATAGTTTGAGTCCTGGACCCAATGGCTTAAACTCATGCTGGGTGCATGTGCATGCGTGCCCGCACACGATCCCAAGAAGAGAATGGAGGAGAAGGGATTGCAGCGTGGCCATCACCCCTGGGGGGAGGGGAGTGATTTCTTGATTTCTGTCTCTCTGTCTCTCTCTATCTTTCTGGCGAGCACACGCGCCCTATAGCAAAAACCTCTCAAAAAAAAAAAAAATAGAAAGAAAAAAGAAAAAAAGAACAGAAAACTAAACTGGAGGCATCATGATGCTTGATTTCAAAATATCTTACAAGGTATAATATTCAAAACAGTATGGTACTTATATAAAATCAGAAACAAAGACCCATAAAACAGAATAGAAAGTCCAGAAATAATTCTATGCATTTACAGTCAACTGGTCAACTGATCTTTGACAAGAAGGCCAAAAATACACAATTGGGAAAAGACAGTTTTTCAATAGTCTAGGAAAACTGGAGATCTACATAGAGAAAAAAAAAAATCAGACCCTTATCCCACCCTGCATACAAACATCATCTCAAATTGGATTAGAAACTTAAATGTATAATCTTAAATTATACAACTGCAAAAAAAAAAAAAAAAAAAAAAAAGAAAGAAACCCTAGAGAAAAAGCTTCTGGACTTTGAACTGTGTAATTATATATATATATATATTTAAATATAACACCAAAAATACAGGGCACAAAAGCAAAAGTAGATAGACAAATGAAATTGTGTCAAACTAAGGTTTCTGTACAGCAAAGGTAAAAATTAATAGAGTGAAAAGACAACCTATGGAATGGCAGAACGTATTTTCAAATTCTGTATCTGTAAGTGAAAATGAGGTGTACGTTCGTATACAAAACTGATGAAGAACTAAAACAATGCAATAGCAAATAATCCAATTTAAAAAGAGGCAAAGCGACTGAGTAGACACTTTCCAAAACAAGACATACAACTTGGGACCAGCAGTTAGCTTAATGGCTATGTCGCTGGACTCCCATGTAGTCGATGGTGGTTCAAGTCCTGGACCCGGTGGCTTAAACTCATGCCGGGCGTGTGTGTGCCTGCCCAAGATCCCGAGAAGAGAATGGAGGAGAAGGGATTGTGGCGTGGCCATCGCCCCTGGAGGCTGATTTCTCGCTTTCTGTCTCTCTCTGTCTGGCAAGTGCATACGCCTTATAGCAAAAACCTCTCCAAAAAAAAAAAAAAGACATACAACTGATAAACAGGTATATGAAAAGGTACTCAACATTACTATCATAAAAGTGCAATTCAACAGAAAAATCATCTCATACCTGTTAGAATGGCTATTATTAATATATATATTATATATTTAATAAAATATATAATATATTAGGTGTGTGTGTGTGTGTGTGTGTGTTGATGAGAATGTGGCCAAAAGCAAACCCTTGTAAACTGTTGATAATAATGTGAATTGGTTATAGCCACCAAGAAAAACAGAAAGGAGGCTATTTTAAAAAAAACTTAAAATAGAATTACCATATGATTCTGCAATCCCATTTCTGAGTATATATATATATCTGAAGAAAATGAAATCAGAATCTTAAAGTCTCTACATTCCAATATTTATTACATAATTTTTATGGTAGTTAAGATATGAAAATGAATGGGTTAAGAAAACATAGTATTATACATATAAAATATTCTACCATAAAAAGAAGAAAACCCTGCCTTAAGTGATACCACAGATGAACCAGAGGACATTTTGCTACATGAAATAAGACAGACACAGAAAGACAAAAAGTAC